AAATCAACTCAACTCAGTCAAGTCCAGAATAAAGTCAAATCAAATCAGCCAAGTCCAGTGTAAAGTCATCTCAAGTTAGTCATGTCCAAAGTTAAGTCAACTCAAGTCAGTCAAGTCCAGTGTAAAGTCATCTCAAGTCAGTCATGTCCAAAGTTAAGTCAAGTCAGTCAAGTCCAGCGTAAAGACAAAATTCAATGAAGTCCAAAGCGAAATCAAGTCAGTCCAGTCCAGAGTAAAGTCAACCCAAGCCAACAAAGTCCAGAGCGAAGTCAAATCAGCCAAGTCCAGAGTAAAGTCAACTCAAGTCAGTCAAGTCCAGTGTAAAGTCATCTCAAGGCAGTCAAGTCCAGTGTAAAGTCATCTCAAGTTAGTCATGTCCAAAGTTAAGTCAACTCAACTCAGTCGTCCAGAATAAAGTCAAATCAAATCAGCCAAGTCCAAAGTCAAGTCAACTTAAGTCAGTCCAGTCCAGAGTAAAGTCAACCCAAGCCAACAAAGTCCAGAGCGAAGTCCGAACCCAAAAGACACTCAGAGCACCGTCTTCCGCATTAACTCTCCCATTTATGTATGTATCGCCGTGCAAGTCAAGTCCAGATTAATGCCAAGAACGTATCTTTGATTTATCGAACGTGTAAGATCACAAGTTTCATGATAACCTGAGGTGTTTGAGAAGTAAAATCATTGTTGGTATTCGGTCCTGGGGCTGGGAAACGCGCAGAGGAATTATACATATATATATATATATATATATATATATATATATATATATATATATATATATATATATATATATATATATATATATATATATATATATATATATATATATATATCGAGTAGATATAATAGATTTCTTTTTCTTTTATATGTATAATCGAATAAAATATATTTTTTTATATATAAAATATAATCGAATGAATAGATTAGATTCTTTTTTCTTTTTCATATATAATTTAATTGATAAAATAGAATGTTTTTTTCTTTTATATATATATAACCGAATGGATAAAATAAATCTCTTTTTCTTTTATATATATACAATCGAAGGAATAGGATATAGGTTTCTGTTGTGAATATTTCTTGTGGTTATGAGTCGTTGTGGAGTTATACAGTAAGGGTGTTTTTCGAGCTGGTTCCCGTGGGGAGAAAATTTTACAAAATGGAGGCGGAATTTTGAGCGACTTGGCTCTCGCCGCGAAACTGAAGGTCGGTTTGTTTATTTGTTTATTTGTTTTAAATCTTAGAGAGGGGTGAAGTTTTAGATTAGAGTTAATGTTTATCTAGAAGAGAAAAGTATGAAGTCTTTGGAATTTGATAATCAAAAAGGTATGAGTGAAAATGAAAGGTAAGAATGAAATAATATCGCCGATTCCCCACAAAAAAAAAAAAAAAAATCCGATTCACGTAACAAAACTTCTCGCAGACAAACAAAAAAAATAAAACAAACAAAACCCCCTAAAACAACAATAACCCAAAAAAAAAAAAATTCCCCCTGACCCCCAAAAAAGCAAAAAAAAAAAAAAAAGTAATATATATGTCATAATAATAAATAAATAAATAAATAAAACTTAAAAAGCAAAAATTCAGAGACGAAACGAGCCGAGGAGATCCCCGCCGCAGCCACAGGACACGGAGCGTTCCCTGTGCATTCCCCTTGGTGGCGTGTGTGGTTTTGGTCAGGAACTTCGCTGTAACGGACTTCGGTGCTGGTAATCCTTCTCGTAAAAAGCCTTAATGAAAAACACCGGTCACGTGATCATGGGAAGGTTGTGTTGTATTTTTCTTTGTCTCTGTGATTATGGTTGTTATTATCGTTGTTATTGTTCATTCTATTGTCATTATCATCAGCATTATTATCACTACCATTATTAGTGATATTACTATTACTATCATTTTAATCATTATCAGAATTGTTGCTATTGTAATTATCATTATCAGAATATTTACTATTATTATCATCAGAACTGTTACTATTATTATTGCTATTATCAGAATTATTTACTAGGATTGCTAGTATCAGTATTGTCGTTGTTGTTATTTTATTTTTTTTATCATTACAAGTATCACAATTATCATTATTTTTATTGTTATTATCATTATCATTATTATCAATATGATTATCATTACTATCATAATTCTTGTTTTAAGTATGCGGATGATAAGGTTTATTGATTTTGCCAAAAGCTTGGAATAGGTTGTATGTATTTGGAAAATGTTTTCATATCAGTGTGCGCATGTGCATGTATGTGTGTGTGTGTGTGTGTGTGTGTGTGTGTGTGTGTGTGTGTGTGGTGTGTGTGTGTGTGTGTGTGTGTGTGTGTGAAAGAGAGAGAGAGAGAGAGAGAGAGAGAGAGAGAGCGCTTGTGTATTCATGTGTGTGTGTATGATTGTGAGAACTGTGTATTCGTGTGTCACCTTGTCTAAATGCATGTGCATACGCGTAGTGGAGCCAAGTACCCACACATTGAGGACACGTAATGGGAGAGAGGGGGAGAAGGGTGTGTGTGTGAAGAGGAGAGAGAGAGGGGATATGGTGGAGGTTGGAGAGAGGGGGGAGGGGAAGAGAGAGAGAGGAGGAGGGGGTATGGTGGAGGTTAGAGAGAGGGGGGAGGGGAGAGAGAGACAGAGTATATGGTGGGAGGGAGGGAGGTAATGGAGAGAGGGGAGGGGAGAGAGAGAGAGGGGGGAGGCAGGCTTAGCTTTCTGGCTCTGTATTCGCAGGGGAGATAAATGATTAATGTTCTTGGCTAGATGGCACGGCAAACTTCTTTTCAAGCCACTCGTTCACATCCAACGTTGAATCAATATCAAATAATTAGAGGGAAATGTTTTTTTTTTCTCTTTCTCTCTGTGTGTCTCTCCCTCTCTCTCCCTCTCCCTCCCTCTACCTCTCTTTCTCTCTCTCCCCTTGTGGTTGTCTATGAGGCCATGATCAAACACAAGTACAGGCCGTTTGTGGAGAGAAAGAGAGAAGGGGAGAGAAAGAGAGAGGGGGAGAGAGGAAGAGGGATTAGTCGTTATAATTTTTTTCCCTTATTCTTTTTTTATATATACACACGAGAGTTTGATGTGTTCATTGGCGCTCGTTTGTGGACGCTGATGGGATGTGTTATATAAGAAAAAGAAACCGAATTGGTCTTTGTATAAACCGACCATGATGTCTTCGTTATTATCAATTTCGAGATACTGCTCTTAATTTATAATCTGTATTATTTTTTCTATTCTCTTTTTTCTCTATTTTAGCACAATCCAGCGATGATTTTTTTTTTTCATCTAATTAATTTCTTTTCTTTTAAGTTTTCTCTCACTCTCTCTCTCTCTCTCTCTCCATCTCCCTCCCACGCCCTCTCCCTCACCTCCTAGTCTCTCTCTCTCTCTCTCTCTCTCTCTCTCTCTCTCTCTCTCTCTCTCTCTCTCTCTCTCTCTCTCTCTCTCTCTCTCCTCTCTCTCCTCCCTCCACATCCCAATCTCTCTCTCTCTATCAATCTATCCCTCTCTCTCTCTCCCTCACCTCCCAATATCTCATTCTCTCTCTTCTTCACTTTTTTTTTTTGAAGAATTGTACCCATCGGACAATTAGCAAAGTCATCGAGAGGAGAAGCATATGTGAGGCATTAACTTAGACTAGGTTTTATGGCCGGTTCCCTGTTGTCTAGCTTAAGGGTGACCAGTGAGGCTAGGTTTTGGATAGGTCTTCTCTCTGTTCCTTTGCTTCTTGTTCTTCTACTTCCTTATTTTCTTATTTCTTTTTCGTCTTTCTTCTTTGCATTTTTTTTCTTCCTTCATTTTTTTCTTTTGCTTCCCTTGTTCCTATATTTTTCCTATTCCTTTTCGTTTTTGATTTGTTTATTTCGCATTTTCTCTCTATTTCGTTTTTAAAAATCGATATTTTCTTCTGGTTCTTATTGTCCGTCTTGTTAGCGATAAAAAATTATAATATTATTGCATTTGTTAGTGTTGTTATTATTTTTCTTTTTCTTATTATGGTTGTTGTTATTGTCATCATCGCGGATATTGTTATTATTATTATCATTTTCTTATTAACATTGGTTTTATTATCATTATTATTATTACGATTGCTTTTATTATAATATCATTATCATTATTTTCAGTTTTATCATTATTAATATTATCATTATTAATGATCTTGTTATCTTTACCATTATCATCATTTTTATTATGATCATCATCATTGTTATCATCATCCTTATCATGATCAATTGCATTACCCTCATTATCCATTATAAATACTCTTATCATCATCATATATCCCAAAAAACACCGTAAAAACATCCACTTTAACAAGCCAATTAATCTTCAAAATCCTCCTTAAATTCCTCAACAAACAATCAAAGTCAAAAGAGCATCCTCCCAAAAGGGTCCTTCGAAGCGTCCTTCTCTTTCTTCCCTTAATTCTCCTGATTATCTCAGCTCCTCCTCCTGATCTCCGGGATTCTGATCGATAAGAAACAATCAGAGTTTGGTGTGTGTGATCGCCGAGTCTCTTCGGGTGGGGAGGAAAAATGGGGACCGAGCAGATTTTTCTTTTTCGTTTTCTTTTTTCTTTTGTTTTTGTTTTCTGTGTTATTATTTTTTTGTTTCTTTTTTTTCTTTATTTTTTTTCTTTATTTTTACTTTTTTTTGTTTTTGTTTTGTTTTTTGCTGGTGTTATTACATTTTTTTTGCTTTTGTTTTTGAATTGTTATTGTGAATGAATATTGGTCTAGAATATGTATTTATATAAACACGCACATGTAATCACATACACAGACACAC